AGTAGCTGTTATGTTTTGACACTGTTGAAAGACAGAAGAAAGGAATGTAGAAAATTATGACAAAAAATAACAACATTCTACACATGTGCACATAAAAAAAAAAATTCACCCTCACACCAATAAAGAAACACATAACTTATTTTTTAACATAAAAATAACAAAAATGAGAAGATCGGCAGCCAATTGCTGATACCTCCTGAAAAGTGGACTGAATGTGCATTGACATGTACCACTGAGCCAGAATAAGCCAAAGTTTTTATTATCTGACCTGAGGATTATACTCTTTAAACAACTGGTAATTGATTTACTTTGTTAATGGCTATTGTAGAACAATCATGTGGTAGAATACTGGTGGTGATCAGATCAATACATTTAATTTTTTGTTTATTTTACCTTTCTCATAATTCAACAAGCTTATAAAAATTTCAATGCAATTATCGTTTGTCATAATGCTCTCTCCTGAGCCAAAAATTGTGACTTGTTGACAGAGGCCCTACACACAGTTATCTATTTAGCCCAAATTCGATATCTCGTCCCATTGCATTTTACCAATCGGGAAAATTGTGGAAGAAAAAAAATAACAGGTGCTCATGTTTCTGTTTCATATTTCCTCCCACTCGCAATAGAAATCTGACCATCCGCAACGCCCCCCCCCCTCCACTCCACCTGTCTGTATGTTATCTTACCTTTATTATATAGAAAGGCACCTACAGCTGTGTGAAAACTTGTCTACCACACAAGTCAACATAGACAGATGGCTCTGCAGTTTATTACTCCATTTGGTTGCATTGTTGTAGTATTGACTCAGTTTAACATAGTTTGGCAAAAAGCCACAAGAGTGAAGAGTTCACTGATAAGATTTGTTATTAACTGACTAGTTACAAAACTGGATAGAAGACAAGAAAAGAACTAAGTTTGTGAAATAATTAACCCTTCATTCTAATTGTCCCTCAAGCAAGATGTCACCCAAGCATCCCCTGCCTCTGTGATTAAAGATTGACTTAAAATACTTTTTATGTAAAATTCTATGTAGTCAAGTGGAATGGTAATGTAATACATTTTGTGTGTGTCTTTTTCTTTTTTTTTTTTTTCTAGGTTACTCATTAGAATCTAGGCAAGATTCACTTGTTAATTTTGTTTGCTATTATGTTTAATTAATTGATACTTTTTTGATAGATTTAATGATGCAATTCTTATTAAGCCATGGTTTAGGAGTGGGGGGTGAATTCATATCTTTTCCGAGGTTATATGCATGTCATTGACTAAAGCTAACTCAAGGAAAAGTGGAACACTGTTCTCCGATTAACAATTCCAAGCTGTTATCCATTACACCACCCATACATCCAATTTTACACCACCTGTTGTTCTCAAGCAGTCACTCATCTAAGTAGTGATCAGGCTCAACATTGCTTAACTTTGCTTTATACAGGAACTAGTTTTTCAACATGGTATAACCACAAGTGTTGTTTTCGTGTAACTGGGTAGAGAGAAAGGAGGAGGAGGAGGATTGGTTTGTCAGAATCAAAGTCCTTGTATTGGACTTAGTATGCTACAAAACCAATGTTTTAAATTATAAAGCTTATGATTAATTTACCCCCTCTCTCCTGCCCCTTAACATCTTGGGTTAAACTGAAAATGTATCCGTTGCTGGTTAGCCTGGACCAGAAGAAGAGTAGAAGATCTTGACTCACTCACCCCCCCCTCCACGCGCGCGCACGCACACACACATACAGACAACTTTTTTTTTATTTTTTTAATTAAGCTATCATTGTAAAACCATCTGTCAATGAATGCAGCAAGATGATTAATTAAAAATGTAATTGAATTGGGTCTGTTGATTGGCACTATAGAGTATATAAGAATTTAGGTTGGGGAATGTATGTATAATTTGTCTGTTTTTTCCCTCCTCTTAGATTTTATATATATATATATATATATATATATATATATATATAGCATTGTACCCATCAAAAGTAGTGAAATTACTTAACATGAATCGGCACTTGTGTGTAGGATCAAAGAATTGCTCACAGGCCGTCAGCCTACGATCAAATTGCATGCACTACTTTGTGAGGTGTTATGCACAAAGCACGTATTTATGCATACAGACACTGGGCTTTGTCTGTATAAATCATCAGTATTAAAAATAAAACTGGAATGTTTAATTTTCTCTTGATGACAATTTGCTGTGTCAGTGTAATGATTAAGACAAAAAAAAAGTTATAAGCTATTTCATAAATCCTGCCTGTGGTATCATGGGAGGGTGCAGACATCTAGTATGAGTAAGTAGTATTTAATTCTCTATCCAACCTCTTTTACCAAGTAACGGGCCTCGTGGGAGTTCTTTATTTCTTTCTTCACTAACCCCCATCTCGCCCAAACTTTTCAGCCAGCATTTCTCCCCCCCCCCCAAACCTCTCTCTCTCTCTCTATCTCTCTCAATGTCTAGCTGCTCATTTCCTGAGCATACCAGTCTGCTAGGGTGACTTGCAAATCCCTGTTGCAGACACCTACTCAGGCATTTTTCATCACCCACAGAACTTATCGGATAGTGCAACATCAATACGCTCAGCCCTTCGGTTCTGATGACAACTGGCTTCAAACTAATACAACCGTCAGCAGCTTCCAAACAGTTTCCTCTACTTCGTTTCATTTACGAGGCCTTTCAGCCACTTCCATCAGTGCCACACACTAGAATCACCACCAGTCCGATAGTCTCATGATCAGAATATGCACACTAATATATATATATATATATACACACACACACACACGTTTAAAAAATATTCCATATAGTGCTAGGTAGTCCTGCTTGTGTGTATATCACTTATGTTTTCAATCACATTCCATTAACAACCTCTTAAGATGAAAAGCTCGGAAGAGTAGGTGTAGCTCATCTGTTAAAGTAGTCAGTTCCTTAATCAGCCATATTGTTAGTTTTGATTCAAGACAACTGTCAAAGTGGTTGTCTTGACCTGAAAAACCTTCACAGATCTCTGCACCACATGGCATGCATTTTGTGTTCCTCTACTGTATGTACTAGAGTACAGTGACTCTTTCTGATCAGGTTTTTTTTAATGCCAAAAAATAGTAAGCGCACTATACATGGGTAGTTGTTTTAACTAGTGGGGTTAAAATTCATGCAGAGAAATTTAAGGGTAGCACTATGCACAAGTATATACAGTAATTTGAAACTTTGAAAATTAACAATGTTAATAATAAATTGGACAATGGATTTCCCAAGGTAAAATTTCTCGGAGAGAAAGAAAGAGAGCTATTCTGCACAATGGATTTGGTGGGTGTGTTGGGGATGAGGATAATTGGGTGAACTCCAAGCCAGTGACACATGATTAAAATATTTGATATCAACACTGAATTCCTAAGTGTTACTCTTGCTTACAAAACCACTTTGATGATAGACTTTTCAAAATAATTTCATTCCTTTCACTAAATATCTACTGGGAGTGTGGATTTACTTACTTACCATTGTGGGAGGTGTTTTTGCTGCACGCTATGTGTAGAGTGTGGCAGAAACACCTCCCATATAATGGTAAGATTAGTTGCATGAAGACACCATTGCCCCTTTTGAAATGATTACCTGAATATTTTAAATATATTATGACATTTCTCTTTCTATATCTTGTCATGAAGGTCATTACTTAAATCTTGCAGTTTCAATTTTTTTTTTTCACTTTTCGAAAATTTTGAAATTGCTGTTCATGTTTTTCTAAAATCTAAGTTGCTAAGTTCAGGGAATGAGGTTTTTCAACAGAAACCTTGTAAATCCATAAGCTTAATTGGTCAGACACACACCATAGTATTTACAATGCCATAAAGCGCATACAACTGGTGCTTATTTGTATGGATTGTTGGGTGCCATGTGATTGGGTGTACCCAAGCTCACCGTAATTTGTAACATGGCTGAAAAAGGCTGAGCAGTTTTATAATGCTGGGAAGAGTTCATTTATCTTGTTTCTGTAGCATAACTGAAAAAGTCAAGTATTTCTTATGTAATTTCTGCTTCAAAATATCCCCCCTCCTTGTTTAATTTTAAAGGTCATTCCAGCCAAATTCAAGAAGGGTCTGGAATTAAGGTGGAAAAAATTTTCTCTAATTGTTACGCATGAAATTCTTAGGCCCTGAATTATCAAAAATTTAGAGATGTTTGAACTTTGTCTCTTCACTTTTGTTTCAAATACTATTACTTAACACACACACACACACACACACACACATTAATAGTTCCAAGTAAGTTCTAGCAAGTTATTTAGGTTTAAAATTCAGGAAAAAGACAAAAATTTCTGAAAATTTCAGCCTTATATGTCCATATGTTCTCATAGAAGTAAACATGATGAAAATTTGATGGGGGGGGGGCTTAATTCTGAACACCTTGAATTTGGCTGGAATGACCCTTTAGCCATTGTACCAAACCTTGTTAGCATTATATTAAATAGACATCTTTTTTTCAGAAACAAAAACATTTTTGCCTCTTAAAATTAGATGTTTTCTCTTTATTTTTTTATCCCCCCCCTGCAATTAAGACCCTGAAAAATTCCGTAATCAATTGCAAGTGGCAATAGATGGAAAGCCTTGTTTTCTATTATGTTTCATTGTACTTTCTCTCTGAAAGCATAAATGAAGCCAAAAATAATTCTCTTCACCCAAACTCCTTCTTCCAGAGTTTAGCTAAAATGTGAAGTTCCCATTTTATATTTCCTAAGAGATATGCCCTATAGACCCCCTACCAAATGAGCATCACTGTCAATCGGTTAAATGTTATTTCCTGAAACTTGTTTGTTTGTTGTTGAAAGGAATGAAGATTACCTTCCCCAGTTTCATTAGCTTAAAATTGGCTGCAGTAATTGTATTTGCTTTTTGTAGTGAATTCCTTCTTTTATAACTTTTTTTTTTTTTTTTTTTTTTTTTTTTTTTTAACTTTCTAAAAACTAAAAAAAAAAATTTTTATTTTTTTTTTTTTTTTTTTTTTTCATTTTCTTTAGATTCTTGGAATAGTGGAGGACCTCAGGGCATCAAGCAGTATGATAGGGAAACCCTACTTGGTTTGCGGGATTCATCAGCTGCCAGGGCTCGACCTGTTAACCTTCCGGATTTGCCAGGCATTACCCTGAAAACAGTAAGTTTTTTTTTTTTTTTTTTTTTTCCCCTTCCCTGGGCTTGTGGTTCGGTGGGGACCAGGGAGTTACCCCCAAAACTTAAGTTTGAGCAAATTGATCAATTTATTCATCTTTCAAATTATTTCCCAGACATTTTTAACACTACAAAATAACTATACCAAAAAAAATAAAAATGTGGAGAGGTCATTTCCATCATTAAAGTTTTAAACTTTTAGGTATCTATGCTGTCTGTAGAAAAATTCCAACCATTTCAATAAATAGCTGCAGCACAACTCATCGCCACCAACTCGACTCCAGGACGACTCGACAACATGCAAATATTTTCAACTTTTTAAAAACAAGTAAAAGTAATTTATTAAGGATCACTTTTTAATACATGACTTTTTTAATTTAAAAACTTATTGAAGATTTTCATGTGATTCCTCTCGTATGCAGTCGGAGATCATTTTGAAAAAGAAGAAACAAAAACAATCTACAAAATTCTTTCATCAGCCTTCATATGCTTCAATTTAGGGGGAGGAGGATGACCTCCAATTAACTGCTTGAAAAATTTCTGTTTCTTTGCATCTTTTGCAGCCACACAAAATGAATCTCAATATTGGGGGGGGGTACTCTTTCCCCAGCTTCTATTTACTGCTTCAGCATGGTTATTTGTCTAATCTTAAGAATCAAACACCAGTCAGCCAAATAGGCTGTTCTAACTTATCAATCACAAAGACAAACAGCCAAACTTTCAAAAATCTCTACGACTCAGTCGATCTAAGAGATGTGCACACTATGACAGCCAACACTGGTCTGAAGCTATAAATTCAAAGAATGTTGTTGTCCTGGAGATGAGTTGAAGAGTATTGAGTCGGCGGTGATGAAATGTCTTATCCAGTCTCAAAATGGCTGCACCATTTAAGAATCTTAGTAGCAGGACATCCTCAAAGGGATATTTACACACTGCTTTTTGAATTGGAAAGAATATCAAGATAAATGCTTGTATCCCAAGCTGAACACTTTGAAGAGGACTAAGGTGCTATTGCAGGGGTGGGTAGTAGATTTTGTATTAATATTTAATAGCGAAATCACACCTTGTATGTATATCACTACCCCAGCATCTCATAACGCTTACGTAAATTTTGTCCTCAATAACAAATGTTTCTTGCTTTCATTTACAATTTTTGTCATTCAAACACAAGTTTAACATCTATTTTTCAGTATAAGAAGAAATGTAATTGTATTTTTGAATGCAATTTACAAATTACTTACTTACAACTAGAATAATTGACTTCTCTTGATTTCATGGAAGTTGCATAGCATCTATGATACAGAGAAAAGATTTACTCTGGGTCTTGAGTACCTTATACCCCCAAAATACTGTACATAAGGGTGCTGAAAAGTTCTACTTATGGCTCGGGAAGCAATCCACCACCACACACTACCCCACCCAACCTCTGATGTTTGGTCATTTGGTTAGATTTTTATGAAGTGCGTCAGGCTGAAAACTTTTCAGCAGCAATCATTCACTTTGCCCCACCCATAATATACACTTAGGTAATGCCTGTACACATTTTGGGAGACACACCCTGTGTGTCATAAAAAAAAAAAATATTTAACATTTTGTATGCATGTGTATAACTTCCACTCACCTCCCTGAATAATGAATGTTACCAGGATTGAACTCTGGAACTCAATTATGCATAATACTTGACTAGCCTATTAACTAATTAAAGTGAGCTCTTCCTGGTTAATTAGAAATCTGATGTTCATTTGGATTGAAAGGATTTTCAATGTACTTGGTGAATCTTTGCCAGGAAACCATAACCATATGTATGTAAAATGTGTGTCTCATCTTTTTCAGCCTCTGCTTGGCAATGGAATGGGTCTCCTTGGCAGTGGTGGCCACTTCCCCATGGGTATATCTGGTCCAATGGTGGCTGGTGGCATGGGTGACAAGGGGATAGTCTCTGATTGGAGGAATGGAAATGACCCCTTTAGCCCAGGTTATGTCAAGTCGGCAAGGTCGGTAAGTATAATGAGTAATTCTTGACTTGGAAAATTCAACAAAGGCCTGGGTGGGGTGCATGGAGATTAAGCTCTCAATTTCAACCTATGATGTTTTAATAGTTTAAACTGAAAAAAAACAGCATAGTATGATTTTTTTTTTTTTTTTTTTTTTTAAAACAAAAAGGCTCCAAACTCAAAAATGAATTTGTTAAAAATGTTTGTTATTATTAAGAGGAAAAACCAAAGTATTCTTTTCTTTTGAAGTCTTCTGGAAAAGTTTTCATAACAAAAAAGAGAAACATTATGGATGGAAAATGCAAACATGTAACATTTTGTGTATAGTTTGTCAGACATGTAAATTCTGGAACTGTTTTTTGTTTTTTTTTGTTTTTTTTTTTTCCACACATTTCAAATGTTATTTACATAGGGGTTTTCATTTTTGTTATCATGTTTTGGCACTTGTACCCTCTGGCCTTCATCAGGTATGTCAATCTTTATAACCTGCAGAGAATTTTGAACTGAAACTTTACAGGGGTGGATTGTTTGCTCGGCTATTATTGCTTGCCTCATTTCCATCAAGTCCATGGGAGGCCAATATGTAAATAGCATAAATAATAACTCCTCATCTCAGAAATTCTGATTGATTTCAAAAGTGTTTTTGTTCTATTCTACATCTTCATTCAAATGTCCAAGTTTTTTTTTTTTTTTTTTTTTTTTTTTTTTGTGTTGTTTCCACATTTGATGATGGGTTTTGCCAAAAAAAAAAAAACTACAAACCTATAGCCTTAATAATTCTTGGATTTTTTTTTGATTTTTTTTTTTTTTTCCTCTCAATTTAATTCTTAGATACTAACCCTAAATTGTTTGTGTTTTCAAATTACTAACTGGGATCTTTAGCTGTTTGACTTGGTAGAAGCCAGCTTATAAAAATAAAATGTTTTTCTTTTCTGCTACAGACTGGGAATGTAACCAAAAGAGGCAGTCAGCAAGGCAAAAAGGAAGTGAAAAATATTACAATCCACATTCCAAAAGACATAAAATTACGAACAAGTGATAATGCCTGGGTCTCTTATAGTCGATCCACCACTCAGAGCCAAGAAGAGGAAGACCTTAACTGGGTAATCAAACGAGTCCGAAGCATCTTGAACAAGCTTACGCCCGAAAACTTTAATGCTTTACAAAATCAAATGGAGAATATAACAATTGATACGGAAGAGAAACTGACTGGTGTCACGGACCTTGTGTTCGAAAAGGTAATGGTTTTCATTCGGTTTACATTGCTTGTACAATACCAAGAATACGGAGATTCTGTTGCACCGATTTTTTTTTGTTTTTTTTTTCCAATAAACCAGGTATATTTACTTACTTTGGAAATTGGCATGTCAAATTCTGACATTTCCCCCTCCTAGTTATAGGTAGGAAGGTGCTTCGTCAAGTTTTATTTGTCATATATATAGTATAAAATTCTCTATAATATTGTCCACATATGCTTATATGTAGATATAGTAGGCTGATGAAAACTTCAAGATCTTAAATGATAATAAAAAAAATTATTGTATTGTATATTAGGTCTTTATGCCAAATAGAAGTATGATTTGTTAAGGCCAAACGTATTGGTAACATTAGATGTGTCCTTTTTAGCGTCTTCATTTAAATTGAACATGCCAACAAGAATGCTGAATGTCTGAGAAAAAGAAAATCCTCTCCAAAAAATGTTCTTATTGGGAAATAAGAGGCATATCTGAAACTATTGAATTTCTAAAGGACTGTCAGATTATCTGAGAAGAAACATCAATTATTTTAGATTTCTTTTTCTTTTACAGGCCATCCTGGAACCTAATTTTGGAACAGCGTATGCTAAATTTTGTAAATTCTTAATGATGGTAAGTATCTAGTTTACATTCACTTTCAACTTCACATTTTCCTCTATTTTCATTGGGGGCAGGGGTGGGATCTTTTGGGCTTTTTTTTTTCTCTCTCTCTCCCCTTAATTTGTCTTGTGAATTATGTTCCATTTTCCTTCTCTTTTTACCAGTTACGAGTGCCTTCATCCACAAACCCAGAACAGAATGTTAATTTCCGCAGTCTCTTGCTGACAACATGCCAAAAAGAATTTGAAAAAGACTCTGAAAATGAACAGAAAATTCTTGACAAAAAGGCTTTGCTGAAAAAAGCAGAATCTGTAAGTAAATTCGAATTTCAATTCACAAGGGATGAGTTTTTTTTGTTTTTTTTTTTTTTTTAGCACCAAAATAGGAGATATTTGAAGGGCAATTTCTCAAATTTTGGAACAAAAATTGATTGTATACAAAGCCCAGTCTAATAAGACTCTACCCAGGCATATGCATGAATGCCAAATGTGCATGATGTCATGCCCATTTAAAAAATGCCTTCATGTTGGCTAACCGATCTTTAATTGAGGGTGTAACTCTCACACACATCGCCTTGGCTGCTGCATTCTTCAAATTGTAGGGGTGGGGTGCTCTTGAGTGCAGTCCCCCAAACCTCTCTCACTGCCTCTGCTCCTGAATGAGGATGCACAGTGTGTCAGCCCCTGAAATATGTGATGCTGAATGTATTGCATCACATTTTGTTTCATCAAGACAAAACATGTACATATAAACCTCTTTGATCAATTTAGATCAGAAGCCATCAGAGCCATGACTTGTGTAGCATCAGGGCATTTATTATATATACACACACCAACACAGCCTTTTTTTTTTTTTTTTTTTCTCTCACTTGGTTGAACGCCCATCACAGGGAAGGGAAATGGACTTTCTCATTTCTCTGTGATGGTCATTCAATCCAAGTAATGCAAATAAAGGCGCAAGCAGTTACTGAGTGAAAGAATAAGAAAAAAAGGAACAGGAATTATGGGGGCCAGGAGATAATGATTGAAATTTGATAACGTTTTTTGAAGATCAAAGTTGTCTAGCTTACAGCCAGATCACATTGAAATACCAGTTGCCGTACAATCACTGAAGTCGAGACTAGTCAGTATTTAGATGGATGATCACTTGGGAATGCCAGGTGCTCTCTGCTTGGATGTGCAGGTGATGTAACTGATAATGACCTGAATTGTTAATTAGAGTTCAAGTTCCTGTTGTGTTAGTTACATTCACTTACACGCTGGAGAAAAGTATGAAACTACATCTTCTCCCTTCAGCTATGAATAAATTAGTAATTCTCAAAAAAAAAAATTCTTTACAATGTAAAATTATTTTCTGGCTTTAAATAAGCTGCAACTGGTTGATGAGCTGTAGAAAATGAATCTATCAGATCTCAGGGTTAAAACTAACTTGAATTATGTCTCCTTGTTTAGCCAAACCTGGAGCTCTGGTAAGAATTTTTTTTTTTTTTTTTTTTTTTTTTTTTTGCAGGCGGTATATAACCTAATGCCTACCTTTACTTTTTATTGTATTTAGCAACACCAATTTCCTCTCTAAATAATACCATCTTTGTTTGATAATAAATTACATCCAGCACCAAGGCTTCTGATCAGGAGGGTTTTGAGGAGCCTGGAACCAGCTCTTAATTGCTGTTGTTCCCAGGGTGGGTGGTAGTATGTGTTAGGGTCCCAACTATGGTCAAAACACTATAAAAATAAATTTTCATAGTAAAAATAGATTTTTGAAGAAAAAGAAATTATCAGCAATATATTTTTGTAAATGAAATTACTAATCGTTTATTTCCCTACAAGTTTATAGACTCTGACAAAAGACATAAAAATACTGTCAAGAGAAGTAATGGTAACAGCAGTAGACTTTACTGAAAAGTCATTCATGGCTAAACATTCTCTTTCCTATTTTCTATTCTACATTGTTTCCTTGTACCAAAAGATAATAAACCAATTCTGGTTTTCTACTGTTTTTGATAACTGTTACGACACAAAACCCATAAAGGAGTTGATATGCCGCTAAACAAACAAATCCTCTCTAAATAATAATGGACAAACAATACTAGGTTATATGGTGTTCCTTCAAAGGGACACTCCATAACCTGATTGTATTGGGTTTTGTCATTGGGGTGTTCTGTATGGTTCTTGGCATATATATAATGGAGGTGGGGATCTCTTCTGAAGGTTATAATAAAAAATGTACCCCACCACCACCAAATATAGCAGCTCTATAAATAGTACATGCTTAAAGTATATATATATATATATATATATATATACACATACTTTAAGCATGTACTATATATATATATATATATATATATATATATTTATTTCTTTGTTTGATTTTGAAACAAGAATTCACATGTTCTGTAACTCCCTTAGAGTTGTAGGGGAACATCATGTACAATAACTATAACAATGGTATCTAAACCAAGCCTGACAAAGCCCATCCTTCTTGAGGTTGGTTTGGGATTCTGTTTTTGTTTTCCTAAACTAGTTACTGCCACTTATCTGTCCTGCAATTTAGTACACAGCTGTTGGATTCATACCATTTTTTTTTTTTTTTTTTTTTTTTTTTTTTTTTTTCCTTAGATTATTTCGTAGGTTATTAGTGTGAAGTTAATGAAACTGGATCAGCCAAGATTAGGACCTTCAGCTTGCTGGCCAACTGTTACACTGCCTGTGCATTATTTTTACCACTTTAAAAAAAAAAAACAAAAAAAACTCTTATGCCTAAAGAGTAAAACTTTTTTTTATGCAACCAATTACAATTGGTTGCATTGTTTACTCTTGTTTAAATGTTTATTTTTATTTTCTTTATAGGAAGGAGATAAGAAACAATTACTAGAACAATTAGACGAGGAAATGGTTATAGCACGGCACAGATCTGTTGGGAATATAAGGTAAGCCCAAACCCACCTTTTTTTTCTTTTTTCATCCTATTGTAATTGTTTGTCCTGACCTTTGTTAGTTTGCATGGCTGTTATGTTCAATACCCTTATAAATAATGGACTATTCCATTTTGATCATATGGGAAGAGTGGGGGGGACACTACTTGGTTTCAGTGAGAAAATGAATGAAAGCAAAAAGGGAAGAAAATGTTTAATGACTACTTCAGTGAAATGGGAAAATTTCAAATCTTTTCACTTATACCCAAATAACAACCAGCACTTGTGTCTATGATTATTATTGCATTATTTTGTTAAGTTGTTCAACTCGGATATTTAACAATGCAATAGGGGAGTTACTACAGCTATTTTGTCAGAACTCTCAATAAGCTTATTCAATCATTGGCTTAACAGTTAATATCCATCAGAAAATTCAAATAGGAAAACCCTGAAATTTTTACAGGTTAAAACTTTTTAAATGCTGCCTTTCAAAGCTTGTGCTTAATGTCAAGTCATTCTTTGATGGAAGACTGGAAGTAGCTGAGCTGGTTTTGATTCTGCTGGGACACTGTTCTTGGCTTAGAATTATGGGCCAATTTACCTTTTTTACACCTTTACTTATTGAAAATAATTAAGGCGTACTTGAAAACCCGTGGTCCAAATGAACTAGTTAACATTTGTGCCACAATTTCTCATTTTTGCTGTGTTTTAAGAATAAATGTCCACCAACAAATTGATTTGTTATCCTAAAAGTTATATTTTAGGAAAATCTATGACAAAGTGGAAAATCTTTTTTACAGGACTCATTTCTTCCTTTAGGAGTTGAAACTAAAGTGATATTCACATGTGCTCATGAATGAGAGAAAGCTTTTTAACTTTTGTTATTCAATATCCCACATTATGATAAGAGATCTGTCAAAGGTGAAATGTAGAAAAGTTGGACGCAAATTAACTGTGGGTGAGCTAGTAATTAATTAAAAATATTTTTCATCTTAGTGAATTGCTTTCTCTTTTTCTTTTTTTTTTTTTTTAATCAAAATTATGGTCATTCATTACAGTGAGAATCTAAAGCATATAATGTGGCTATTATTACTGTTATTTGTCCTAATTTTAGTTTTTTTTTTTTTTTTTTAAGTAGTTGTAACAACATTTTGATGAAAATTTATCTTTTTCCCCCATAAATTGTATTCTAAAAGGGGTTGTGATGTTGTCTTCAATTGTATCTCTCATCAAAGTGTTGAGATAGTGGGACAGGAAAACATCTCTGCCATACATGCTGTGACTATTTTATTTTATAAGACTAGTTTGATATAAGGTCAATTTTTTTGGGGGGGGTATTTTCCCCCTTACCCTATTCTTGAATAGTCACAGATTCCAGAAATTGAAAAAAAAATTTTTTTATATATATATATATATATATATAGTGGGTACCCATACTTGAGTAGACATTCCCTTTGTTCATTAGACAGTAATTTGCATCTATTGGACTGAATATTCAAGAAAGATGTCATTTTGGAGCATTGTAATAAAATTTCAGGCCGGTAAAAATATGAAAAAAAAATATACTGTTTAATAAATAAATAGCGTGTCTACTTGAATATGGTTATCCACTAAAAATAACGTTTAAAGTGAAGCCTAAGTATAAATCTGCTCAAGGGAGATAACCACTGTGGCTAAATTTGCTTTTAATGAAAAATGCATTTACATTACAGCATAAAAATATAAATGTAAAGGTAAATGTAATGTTTTTTTGTTTTTTTTTTTTTTCTCGTCCCTTTTAAAAGAAATCTTGTTTACTTTCAAAGATTTTTTTTTATAGAAATGTAGTTTTGTTTTAACATATAGAGGTGACTTTGCTTGCAAAGCAAAAATGTTATCCTGTAAGTGACTCATATGAATGAATGTGTTGTCATATCCTGCTATGGCAACAGAAAATGACCATGATTGAAATTAAGTCGTGCAATAAAAATGAGCCTTGAAAAACAATACAGTGTAAAGAAAAATAGTAAATAATGCAAAGTGTTAATAGTTAAGAATGCCTGTTACTTATGAACTCTATTATCTCCTTCAGATTTATAGGTGAATTATTCAAGATGAATATGTTAACGGAGAAGATAATGCATAACTGCCTTTATAAGCTCTCCTGTTCGACAGATGAAGAGCGACTGGAATGTTTCTGTAGCCTGTTGTCAAGTATTGGACAAATTTTGGAGAACAAGGTAAGCCCTTCACTTCATGGCTCTCCACCCACCATATATATATATATATATATATATATATATATATATACACACACACTTTTTTAATTCCTCAGTTTCATAAATAACTTAATTTTTTTTTTCCTTTTTTAATCAATAAAAGCATTGATTTCAATCCAGTTCAGTATACATTTCAGTCTGAAGCAACATTTAATATCATCATAAAGGCAACCTACATTCTGCAATTGCTTATTGTTGTATATTACACCAAAGCTATGAAATAAATTTTGTTATTACATGTTTCATGGCTTCTATTGTGTTTATCAAAGATTGTCATGTGATACATAATTATGTCTTCATATAAAACATCAAGAAGAAATCTGCCATATTAAAAACAAAGAAAAATTGAAAATATGCTAAAGATATTTTGATATAAAGACCAGACAAATGAAAGTGTAGTAATTGCAAACAAAAGATTAACATTCATACTTTCTAAATAAATTTAGCACATAAATCATCAACTATCACACCATAATAATTGACTGTTAAAAAAAGTTTCTTTTAGCAATCCAGGGCAAACTGTAACTTTTTATTTTTTCTTCTTGACACCACTATTATATTGTACTACCTTCAATCCGTCGGCAATGTTTGAGATTATAAAAATGTGAACCGTGTACAATGTGATATTTACCATTTTATAAATAGCTATGGGAAATTGCTGCATGGTGGAAAATGCTCTTTTTTTTTTTTTTTTTTTTTTTTTTTTTTTCTTCTTCCCCCTTTTTGAAACCCGACCAAGGGAGTGAAGGTAGTTAAAATTAATAGAAGAGCTATTTGATACGCCATTCTATTGCATGCACAAAAGTTAGGTCATTTTATTTGTCATTGGAGTTAAAAACCTTTTACACATCATTTTTTTTTTTTTTTTTTTTTTTTTTTCTCTCTCCTGTAGTCTGCTGACCATGTGGATCAATATTTCAATAACGTGCAGAAAATCGTTGTAGATAAGAAAATCTCTTCTCGGATCCGCTTTATGATAATGGACTTGATAGATTTACGTCGTCGGAATTGGGTTCCACGCCACACAAACAAAGGCCCAAAGACTCTTGAAGAACTGCACCAAGATATTGAAAATGAGCAGATGGAATTGCGGCAAAAAATAGATGCTGCAGCTACTCATCTGACAGCCAACCAGCGAAATCGAGGCGTACGGGCTGGGTCAATGGGACCACCTGCACCACCACAGGCTCATGATGGCGAGGGATGGAACACTGTCTCTACTCGCCTCATGCGAACCCAGATTGATCCCAAAATGTGGTTACCTAAAGTAAGTAAATGCTGCATGTATACTTGCTGGGGGGGTAGGAAAGACTTTATATTCAAGCATTAGTGCTGTGAGATGTTTAAAGACACCCCCCCCCAAAAAAAAATTATTTTTCTTGAATATTTTAAATTTCCTATGGTCAAGGAACAAAAAAGGATTTTTAGTTTTGCTTAAATTATATTTGTGTAAATTACAATCATATGATCATAACTTTGTATTTGTAGAAATGTAAATCTATGGCCCAGTTTCTTTCCCATCTCACCTTTCCTGAAAGAATTACTACTTTCCCAAGCAAAAATCAAAAGAAAACAGTTAAATTCACTACCTCATGTTTTTCGAGATACGTCCATCCCATGTGAATTATGGTAGTTTTGTCCTCATGTTTTGACTGACCTTTCAATCACCTCATGAACATTCTCAAGTTTTAAAAGCTTTGATAAACCAATGACAACCTTGCTTTTGTATATAAACAAATACAACAAAATAAATCCAGCATTGTCTTGATAAAGTCCCTCAGAGGATGAAATGCATCAACTAAAATTAGTTGTCCTCTTCATAAATAGATGCTACTGGGCTTAAATTGCGTTGGTGTATATATATATATATATATATATATATATATATATATATATATATAAAAGGAAAGAAGTATGATAAAGTAGGAAAGTTTTTGACACTTTCCAGCCATTTGGACCTCATCAGATTAAATTTGTGTTTACAATGATGTGACATTACTTGGACATGTGGAGAAATTTTATATATATATATAGCTAATTTAATTTTTTTCCCCGTCACTTTTGTTGGTAAATATCCCACATTGTGATAATAAATCTACCAAAAACAGTCAAATATAACAAGCAGAGTAAATTTGTGTCCATGTTCTTACATTTAACTTTTGTTGGCAGGTCTTCTATTATCACAAAGTGTGACATTTAATAAATGATGGCAACATAAATGAAAGGAAAATGAATCTAAATGAAATCTGTAAGATTATAATACTCAAAAATAAAAAAAACTTTGTCATGCTTCCTTTCTCTCTCTCTCTCTCTCCCCCCCCCCATATAAGCTGAAGATTGCATGAAACACTGTTACTACTTAGTGTTTGGTCACCTCCTGGAAAGGGAGGAAAGAGCTTGTTCCTAGAAATTCTAAAAGGTCATCCAAATTTTCTTGTGTTTGTGCGAGAGAAGTCTACTTTAAGTAGCCATCCTCTTCAAAACTTAGGCATGTAAATATTGGCTCTCAACCTGCAATAACTCACCCCATGTCTAATTGGGCATAGTGACATCATCACACATAGTGCAGGATGTCATTCAGGCAGTAAGGCTGAGAGCTGATGACACTTACAGGATGATTTTAAGTATGTTGAATAGGAAAAATGTTAACATAGAGCAGTTGAGCTTTAGTATCGTTGAAAGATAATCCTGCTGGAGACCTTGCATTTATCCCCGTGTCTGTTCCATGTGTCAAAAGTAAAGAAAAATACAATGAAGGTAACGTTTTGTTTTTTGTTTTTTTTTTGTTTGTTTTCCAGCCTTGTAAAATTGATGATAATGTGCAACTAATTCCCGGTGTTGGTGCTAACAAGTTTTGCCCCTGGGCCTGTGGTAGTACGGGAGGTGGTGGCCGTGGCTCAAGGAGTGACTATCTACAGAACAGTGACAGGCAATCGGCTCCAGCAAACCGGTAAGGCTTATCCCCATTCAACAATTTTTTTTTTTTTTTTTTCTTTTACATTGCATGACCATTACGTAACTTTTTTTTTTTTTTTTAAATGATAAACCCCTACACTTTCGTCCTACAGATTTTCTGCTTTGAGTGGAGATGATGATGATGCCACTGCCCCAATGGGTAATGTCCGTGGTGGTGGTCAAGAGAATCGGCCGGAGATGTTTGGGCGTGGAAGCATGAGACGTGATGGTGGACGCTCAGGGGGGACACCTGGCCAGTCAGGTCGTGGCCAGTTTAACAGTTCACGTGGGAAGACAATCTCACGGAGATTTTCGCAAGAAGACAGAAATAATCAAAAACGGGGTTCAAAGTAAGTTTATTTCTCTCTCTCTCTCTCTCTCTACCCACCTCTCTCTCTCTACCCACCTCTCTCTCTCTCTACCCACCTCTCTCTCTCTCTACCCACCTCTCTCTCTCTCTACCCACCTCTCTCTCTCTCTACCCACCTCTCTCTCTCTCTACCCACCTCTCTCTCTCTCTACCCACCTCTCTCTCTCTACCCTCCCCTCTCTCTCTCTACCCACCTCTCTCTCTCTACCCCTCTCTCTCTCTCTACCCCCCCTCTCTCTCTACCCACCTCTCTCTCTACCCCACCTCTCTCTCTCTCTACCCACCTCTCTCTCTCTCTCCCTCTCTCCTCCCCCTCTCTCTCTCTCCCCACCCTCTCTCTCTCTCTACCTCTCTCTCTCTCTACCCCCTCTCTCTCTCTCTACCCCTCTCTCTCTACCCACCTCTCTCTCTACCCCTCTCTCTCTCTCTCCCTCCCTCTCTCTCTCTACCCCCTCTCTCTCTCTCTCCCTCTCTCTCTCTCTACCCACCTCTCTCTCTCTACCCCCCTCTCTCTCTCTACCCCCTCTCTCTCTCTACCCCCTCTCTCTCTCTCTCTCTCTCTCCCCTACCTCTCTCTCTCTACCCACCTCTCTCTCTACCCCCACCCTCTCTCTCTCTCTACCCCCCTCTCTCTCTCTCTCTCTCTCCCCACCTCTCTCTCTCTCTCTCTCTCTCTCTACCCCCTCTCTCTCTCTACCCCCTCTCTCTCTCTACCCACCTCTCTCTCTCTACCCCCTCTCTCTCTCTCTACCCTCCTCTCTCTCTCTACCCCCCTCTCTCTCTCTCTACCCCCTCTCTCTCTCTACCCACCTCTCTCTCTCTACCCCCCTCTCTCTCTCTCTCTCTCTACCCCCACCTCTCTCTCTCTCTACCCCACCTCTCTCTCTCCCCCCTCTCTCTCCCTACCCACCTCTCTCTCTACCCACCTTTCTCTCTCTCTACCCACCTCTCTCTCTCTCTCTACCCACCTCTCTCTCTCTCTCTCTCTCAAATACCAGAATATTAAACATTTGCTTTTCTTTTTAGTGATAATCTTACACCTCTCCGAGTACAGAGTCGTGAGGAGGGCCGTTCCCGTCGGATTCGCAGCCGAGAGAACAGTCGTAATCGTACCCTACATACCCCGATGGGAAGTCGAGAGAACAGTGCAAACAGGCAATCTGTGTTACACTCCAGGGAGAACTCACGTGATGCCAACATGTATAGCAGAGAGAATGGCAGACTCCAAGATAGTAAAGTTGCATCAACTGAACGAAGCAATCAACCTGTTAAATCTCATTCAACCAAAGAACAACCAAAACAAATGTCTGATGAAGAGATTGAAAAGAAAATAGCTGCCATAATTGATGAATATTTGAACATCAAGGACTTAGGGGTAAGCAGGGTTCATTATATATAAGTTCAAATAAATAAATATGCATAATGATGATTGCCTAGTGCATGAAACTCATTTGTTGGTATGTATGGTATTATATTGATTTTTCTAAGCATAGCTTAGATGTGGCACAAGGCCAAATGTATGGGCCATCTAGTGAGGATTGAACTCACTTTTCAGTCGTAACTGATTTAGTAAGTGTCTGAAAATGAGTGGCAAGGTGTGGTGTTTGAATTTTTTATAATTTCTTGCGTGTTCACATAATTTTTTTTTTCTTTTCAGGACATAAATTGTCCAAATGTTTTCCATGTTAGCCATTATCAAGGATGAATTTTATTTTAACTGAATATATGCATTGCTTTATGTATGTATCATCCGCATGTACAAAAAGGCTAAAAATAATAGAAGCATTATTAATCTTTGCCTCACCAAGTTCCTTATAGAATTGCCCCCTCTGATACTGAATTCTTTCTGGTGTCACAAAAAGCGTGCACTACCATTTTAAAATTATAATCTTTTGTATTGTGTGTATAGATTCCATTTTTTTTGTATACTAATAAAAGAATGGATGAGCAATATTTTATGGAGTTCTGGCGGGTACAGTTTACCATGTTGTCTATCAGACTGTGGAACCTCTGGAAGTGGGGGGGTGCACATGCCACTTTCTGTACATGAACAGTGGCAACACAATCTGGGTGAGATGACCTTCCACATTTCAGGTGATTGAGGTTGATAACAAGGTTGTGTTCTGTTAACACCAGTCTTCTCCTCTCTCTCCTATGGGGCACATCTGTCTCGTAGCCTTCCATCAAAGAATGAATAATGAGTAGCCTAAACTTTTCAGCATTGACTTGGTTTTCGTCATTGCAGAAGCAGAGTCGAAGTAGATTCCACCACTTGGTAGATCGGTGCAGCACCCTGTAGTACGTTAGCTGCTTGTCAGCTCTCTCTATTACCCCCCCCCCCCAAAAAAAAAATAACCCAAATGTACTGAGTAGGATTGCACAGCACAAGGTATGGTATGATTTTCATGACGTTTTTGACAAAACTTCTTTTCTGAAGGTCTCATCAGTGTAGGCAGTTGTCATCAAATTCACTGGCCTTCTGTCATACAGGTGTATGGTGGTGGGGCTCTCCTCATTGGCACTTTGCTACTTTTATCTTGCTAGCTACATCCTTTAGGTTCACATGTAGTGTGCCACATGTTCCTGTTCCATATTTGGCTAAGTGGTGAAACAATGCAGGGGATGAAAAAAAAAAATTGACCAGGTAATCCTCTCCAATGTGGAGGATACAACTTTGTGGGTATCACCAACTGTCCTTGGTACCCGAGCTGTTTCACAGCCCAAGTATAGCTGACTTCAGGCTTCTAGGCCACACTTGGCTGATTTTGCTGGCATGTATGTCAAGCCAAAGTGACAGGAATTTATCAGAAAATGGCCAGATCTTGTATGCCCTGTCATGCTCAGGGTGGTTCCTTGGTTTTTCAGTTAAATTACAAGAATGATAAAACAAGGACAAAATTCTTGAAAAACCAGTCTCCTATCATATTTCTAAAAACCTGACATTTGTATAAACTCCTCTTTGTGAGTCCAACAAGAAGTAAAATGGCTAAGAAAGCCTTCATTTCGACAAAAGGTGACTTCATTCCATGTGTTTACATATGCATAGACACATTTGTCTCTTTCCTTTCATTCCTTTGACGAATATATTTGTCTCATTGACAAATAAAGTAATTATTGTCTTTTATGAATAAATAAGATAATTCGCCTTCAGAAAGTCTGTTAAATTCATGGGTCCAATAGCTTCCATAAAACTAGTCAGCCATGGATGGTAGTAGCCACTCTGCATTTCGTGGCCGTCATAGTTTTCCTCCTGTCAAAAGTGTGGCTACTCTGACAACTTCACCATCTATATCCACCTGAGTAAATCCTTTGAAATAATTATTGAATTCATAATAATAACTTGAATAAAGGGTTTGTTTGATGTTCCTGCAGCCATTTTCGTAAACAAAAAAGTGATAAAATTAATGCAGGTTTACTCGATATTACACCCATGTAGAGTAAAGAATTTAAAATGGCATTGGAAAATGGCAGTTTAGCTCCTTTCATAACGAGTACACAGCTATTTCCACCTTAAAATATTGGGATTAGTAGTGTTTATTTATAGCAACCCTGTCAAAGCAACAGTGTGCCTAGAGCAGCAAAGGGAGAGAATTCTCTGCTGACAATTTTCGTCTCCAATGAGGTAACAGTTAACAAAAAGAAAAAGCCAACACTCAATATCAACTATGAACACTGTCACAATGTGCTGACTGTGTTTGGAAAATATAACATTCCTATAACTTTAGATACATACGTAAAACCATGCACATATTCAGTTAAAAATAAAATAAAATTCATCCTTGATAATGTCTAAAAGTATAGCGAAAAGTGCTTTGAAAACATTCAACAAATTGCAATAACAATCATAAATATGAATGCTAGCCATTATTTTATGAGGTTACAAATGGCAACATTTTTATTTCACTAAAACAAGATATTAAACATATTTCTTAAGTTTTTTCACTGAAACAAATAGCATCTCTGATACGTCTTTTGTTTTTCCATGCAATCAAAACAATTATCCTTTATTTATGAAGTATTGGCAAAGCATAACATACACGTGTGCTATTTAAGGAATTGGTGAAGGTTCAAGCCCAACTATGAGTATAGTGGAAAGGGAGGTAAATCAACAAGTTAGTAAATTTAATGATTACTTCTCTTTGTCATTTTAATAATCTATACAAATAAAATAAAATATTCATCTACCTTTTAGATCCCAAGCAAAATGAAGTTTAATTAAGGAGTTCCTATGTTTCTTAGGTTGTAGTCTTATTTGTTCATGTCTTTCATGTGAGGCACTAAGATGAGTCTATTAAGTGATCATCTTAATCAATTTGGTCTTTAAATAGTTTTTCTTTGTTGCTAATCTTTTTCTTCTGTGAGAGATTTCCATTTCACTGTTATATTAAACACATAATTTTTAACTTTAAAAGTTAAGCAAAAATGTATTTTTATATAATATCAGTTATAATCAATGAATCATAGATACCATTGAATGTCTAAAAATATATATATTAAATAGTTCATTGGCCTCTAATTTACTTGTGACTTCTTTATTTCCACTTTATTGAATCTCACTATTAAAACTGACAATTGCTGTCATTTTGACAGCATGGATGCACTAGTGTCCTTGTTTTTAATTTTATGGAATCTTTTATTTTAATTCTAGTATGGGAATAACATGCACTTAATTGTCTTTCCTTCTCTTTCCTTATTCACCCCTCCCCCTACAAGAACAGCATAAAGATATTTTTTAATCAATAAATTTAATAGGCTTTTTCTTCTTTGTGTATCTTAGTAGATTGAAGTTCTTTATAACTAACTCATAGACCCACTCTGGCAAGCAAAATATTGACACTTGATGTTTGTCTTTGATAAATTACAATAATTATTGTTCTCCATATTATTAAGCACTTTGTTGACAAAGTTCTGTTACACACACACACACACACACAATTCCAATGAAATTCAAGTTACCATTGATTTTAGTGCACAATGTGCAACATATATTCACAACTTAAATTTCATTGTAATCCATTTAAAAATGGGGAAATCCAGGAAATATTTGACTATTTTTGTGTGTGTGTGTGTAAATAAATAAATGCTAAATGTTACTTATGGACCTGTATCTAATAATGTCTGAATAATAAACAAATAATAATAATAAAAAAAAAAAATCTTCTTTCGACCGTGAAGGGATGGACCAAAATCTTAATCCTGATTTTGCATAATGGGTCATGCCGATAAAAGACAATCCTAGTGAAACTAATGCTTTTGCCGAAAGGAAGGGAATTATCAAGGAATTTCATTCAATGATTAAACTGGGAAACAGGTCTTATTTGAATACTAAACCATTATTACACGTCTTCTCTTTTTAAAAATCAAAAACTCTTTTGTTTACTTTTCAGGAAGCAATTATGTGTGTGTCTGAATTGAAATGTTTGAGCAACTTCCACATTACAGTATCGACAGCCATCAGCCATGTTTTAGATATGACTGAACAGAGCCGTAAATTGACAGGAAATCTTTTCTATTCTCTGATTGTGGAAAAGATTCTACCGCACAGTGTCTACATTACTGGGTAAGTAAAGCACCTAACCTTTCTATTTAGGTGGGTATGACCGTCCTCTTTAACCCCCAAGTCCAGTGAGTATTTCCCTTTATGACATTAGGTAACCAAAAAAAGTCCTTGCCATATTTTATGTCATGTGGGGAGTGATCGCTGATATGAAAATGAATACATCACATGCTGGAAAAGCCATGGGAGTGGTTGGCAGTGTTCTTGACCAATGCACGTGTGTTGTGCGCACATCAGTTATAGCTCAAGCAGCAGTAAGGAAGCCTGGCAGTGTTGAAGTCGCTCATTCAGGGTTCTCTTTTTTTCTTTTTTTTTTTTTTTTTTTTTCCTCTCCCCACTAAAAAAAATAAAACCTAAATTCTATAAGGAAAAAAGGATTCACTGGCCACAAATAGATATTGTATTTAATTAAGCTCATTTCCTCAAACTGATAACAATTTTTTAAAAATATCTTGTTTATCTTGTTGAGCCCTTGCGCACTGTTGGAGGAATGTTGGCAAAAGGTTATGGATGCCAATGGGGACTAACAGTATGTCAAATTTGGTGTATACCTTTTTCTAATAAATAAAAAAACGGCAAGGACTTTTTTTTTTTTTTTTTTTTTTTTTTTTTTCCCTTCACATATCTGAAAGAATTTTTACTTTCCCAAGCAAAAATCAAAAGAAAACTGTTGAATCCACAACCTCGTGTTTTTCACGATGTACGGCACTACATCCATCACATACCATAACAATCTAATCACAATTTAAACAATCATTTTTAAAAAAAAAAAAAATTCTTGAATATTACCAGACTTTGAATTATGGCACTTTGTGTTTTCCATTTGTTTTGATTGACCTTTCAATCACCTGATGAACATTTCTAAATTTAAAAGCCTTGATAAACTAATGACATCCTTGCCTTTGTATATAAACACGTACAACAAAATAAAACCTACATTGTCTTGATAAAGTCCCCCAGAGAACAAAAGAATCAACTAATAGTTTTTTTTCTTGTCCTCTTATTCATGAGTAAAAGAATAGAAGATGCAACTGGACTTAAATTGGCAGGGTTGATTTTATTTTAGTAATTAATTATTCAATGCAAAAGATGGAAATTAGCATTTTTATGGAAATTGCTTGAATTCCAGTTGAGCTGCTGCTTCTACTGCAGTTAATAAATTGGTTTATTTTGTCTTTCCAGACTCAAACAAGTGATGGAGTATGCTGAAGACTTGGAGATTGATATTCCTAAAATTTGGACTTATCTGGCTGAACTCATATCTCCTGTTTTGGCTGAAAATGGATTCCCTTGGGATTTTCTTACAGAAATTGCAGACCCCTTGAAAGAATCTAAAAAGGGTGGTGATTTTATTGCAGCCCTTCTTACAAACTTGGTTGATACAATGGTAAGTAGCATATCATTTACATATTTTTCTATCTTTAATATGATACTGTAGGTTTGTATTGTGTGTGTGAAAGAGTGCAAGTTTGAGATCTAGAGAGAGCTAGCTAGATATTATTTGATGTGTTACATAAGTGTATGTAAAATGGGGTGGGGGGATTATTGAAAATGAAAAAAGGGAAGTCCTCATTCCCCCCCCCCCCCTTCATTCAAGGTTTTTTATTTTTATTTATTTATTTGCTTTTTCTTTTTCTTCTAGGGAGAAAACAAAGTGAGAGAATTCTGGTCTGCTGCCAATCTGAAATTGTCCGACTTCACTGAAACTGATGCTACCACCTTCATAACTAAAAAGGTATTCAGAATAAATTTCTCTCTTTTGGCCTTAATAGTCTTGACTCCTCCTCCTCTCCCCTCCCAATAGTCTCTGGCCTCACAAGAACTCGTCCATCACCAATCAATCTTCCATACACCATAATACCACATTCTCTCTAGGGGGACCTACAAAACACACCTCATGCCATAAAAATTTAATGATACTAAAATATATATATAAAAATCTGAAAAAAGGGGAGGGAGATGAACCCCATAAACTAAAATATTAACACAAATCAAATTAAACATAAATGATGTTAGTAGGGCCCGTCTAACCCTCGAAACAGAGGCCACTGTATTCTGCCCATTGAACAAAATCAAGAAGCGCTCTCATTAATGGGAGTGGGGAAAAGGATAAAATATTATACGGGAATGGAAAAATATAAAGCTGATGCAGTCGAGATGAAAGGGGCCAAAAACAAATATGGGAGGTCGAAAATCTCAACCTGGATCATAACCAAAGATGTGGCTGGGGACAGGCCGAGAACAACACTTACATTAACTAGGTACACAAAAGCTTGTCTAACCTAACCAAGGGGAGGGCTCCACAGGAAACCACTCCAATGTGACGTAGGCTTGACCTAAAAGAGAAAATCAAGGCTAGCCCCATTCAAACGAACCAAGCTCACCTCAGTCACCCAACTTTCGCTGAAGACTGTCGAATGCGAGCGTTTTCTATCAGTTCTAATCTTCATCTTGAGCTGATGCTCAAAGAATCGAATATGGTTTCCACGCAAGACTTCTTCCATTCGCGTTGTCAGAAACACCATCCGTTTCACCCTGGAATACAGTGGCGACACATTGTCACACACATGCGCGATCAATGGGCACAAGCCTTTCGGGAGCAAGACGAGTTGTCAGCTCGACAACATGATCCCATAGGGTGTGGAACCAGGGGCAATGGGACAAAGCCGTTTCCTCTAAACCAAGGCTACACCATTCACAGTCTGGCAAACCAACCAAGCCCCTATGAAGGCCTTGTCATTGGGAGGCAACTGATTCCGAGCAAATCGCCAGGTAAGCGAAAACTCTGGGTTACTGAGATAATCCGCCGCTGGTGCCCAAGACCAGTAAGAGTGAACTACCAACAAGTCAAGCCACTCACATAGGGAATCCTTCGCAACCCCCTCCACTAGAAGATGATAGAAGACCTTCCTAGGCCAAGGAAAAGCCAACGAGGCCGATTGACACCTGCAAAGGAAAACCAATTGTTCTCATTTCACGTGCCATGCCTATTCCGGATGTCTCGTTATCTCCCTTTAACTAAACTCTCCAAGTTTTTGTTCCCCCAATACAGTAGGCAGGTATTAAACTCAAAATTCACTGTCACTGGATCCAACCAACGCTTTTATCCACTCCTTCTCATATGCTATTAAATATGGTAGTTATAATTTTTCTTATAAAGGAAAATAAATGACTAATTAATTAATCAAACCACATTTCACCCGTGTTAATACATGCAGTTTATTTTTTCTTTTTAATTTTCTTTCCTTTATGAATTTTTTTTTTTTTTTTTTTTTTTTTTACAGAAACTGGAATTTATTTTAGACAAGGAGAGTCCAGAATCTAAATTAAACAGTTTGCAAAGAAAGCTGCATTCCCTACTGCAAGACAGCAACTGCAAGAACGAAGCTATCCTTGACCTCATTGATGTAAGTAATACTGACCTAGCTCTCCCGTCCATATAGCAAAAATATACCCCTTAATTCAACCACAATATGCAAATTAACTGTCGGAAATGTTAACATCTTGCAAAACAGAATGTAACGATTTTTAGACCTGTTATTAAAGGGGCAATTTGTTAAGACAACTTCTCAGCCATGACGACCGAGTCTCTTATGGCTATTTGTAACCTTTCATAAAATTTCACTTCATTTATTTTATAGACAGCAAAAAGTTGTTCGGATTATTTTTTCTTTTTTTTTTTTCTTTACACCATTCCCAACCAAAATAGCATTTCTTTTTTTGTTTTTTCCTCCAAGGTAAATAAAAATGATGTTGCAATGCTGTTTCGGTTGTTTTCCATGTCCTTCATCTTTTATATTTTCCAGACTGAAATCCCAGAATCTGTAACAAAGACTGGAGAATTTATCCGAATATTAATGACTGAGATCTGTTCAAGTGCAATAGTTGGTAAGTAATTACATGGTTAAAAAAATCAGCAACATTTACTCACTTTGGTTTGTTACATTAAATTATGTCACTTAGTGTCTTCCATAATTCACTTTAATTCAATTTAACCTGAAGATGATTTGAGTGTTTCTTAAATTTAAAAATTCTGAAAAAATTATGGCGTCTTTACTTTTGTTTATAAATACTTGTTCAAAATGAAATCCTTACATTTGCTTTAAGTCCATCAGAGGACAAAACACAATGGCTAAGATTTCCTTTCTGTTTTTTTATATATATATATATATATATATATATATATATATATATGGACAAAGTGCGACAATTATTTTAAGACATTTTTATGTTTATAGATACAAATATTTAAGTAAATGCTCTGTTTATAATAAACAGTATTAACATTTATTATAAACAGAGCATTTACTTAATTATTTGTATCTATAATAATGTATAAAATGTCTTGTATAGATCTGGCCTCTCTCTCTTATTCTTCTTCTTCTTGTTCTTCTTCTTCTTGTTCTTGTTCTTCTTCTTGTTCTTGTTCTTCTTGTTCTTGTTCTTCTTGTTCTTGTTCTTGTTCTTCTTCTTCTTGTTCTTCTTGTTCTTCTTCTTCTTCTTCTTCTTCTTCTTCTTCTTGTTCTTCTTCTTCTTGTTCTTCTTCTTCTTGTTCTTCTTCTTCTTGTTCTTCTTCTTCTTGTTCTTCTTCTTCTTGTTCTTCTTCTTCTTGTTCTTCTTCTTCTTGTTCTTCTTCTTCTTGTTCTTGTTCTTCTTCTTCTTGTTCTTCTTGTTCTTGTTCTTCTTCTTCTTCTTCTTGTTCTTCTTCTTCTTCTTCTTGTTCTTCTTCTTCTTCTTCTTCTTGTTCTTCTTCTTCTTCTTCTTCTTCTTCTTCTTCTTGTTCTTCTTCTTCTTCTTCTTCTTCAGGGTATTATTTCTTTTCCTTAAAGTAAAAAATTTTTTTTTTTTTTTTCCTTCCTTCTTTCTATCAGGTGAAGGGGGAAGTGCCAAAGTGAAAAAAAGTACAATTAATGGCCGGTGTGTTATCCTCGTGAAATTTTTGGATCATCAATTGGACCTTCAATTACACGCTCTCTATGCTTTGCAAGCTTTGGACCTGAAAATGGAACATCCACCCAGTAAGTTGTCTTCTGTCTTACAAACACTTAATGTTCTCAATTCTCTCTTTCATGGTTGAGGCACTAATATAAATAATAAAAAAAATAGTTGACTAGAAGCAGTGATGTTGCAGGGTGTGGCAGCCTTTACTAAAGATGGGACTGGCATCATAATACTTTTCATCTTTTGAACATCAAGTTGAGGGAGAGTCACCAACACGGAGATCCTCTTCACTCTCCTCTAATAACAATCTCCATTGACTGGCTCACATACATTAAATGTGGGGGGGGGGGTGAAAAAACTGTTCTATTGTACAGAAAATTGCCCTTACCCAGGCATGATAGAATGAGGATGACCCATGTTTGTTTCAAAGAGGTCTGAATGAGACATTAATTCATTCAACCTGGATGTCAAGAAAAAAAGGAAATTGTGAATAAACTTTCTCTGTTGCTGTGAGGATAAGTGACTGAGATAAAACACACTTGGCAGTAAGACAACGTGTTAACAAGAGCTGTCGCTGCAACTGTCACAACAAACACTGAATCCCATCATCTCACAAGACTGATAGGTGCTAATTTGGGGGTAATATTTGGAGAAGCTTTAGTTTATGTGAGGAAATTTTAAGTTGAAAGAAACAAGTTCCTCGTTAAGTTGGTTCTTAGCCTTGAATTTAGGGAAATAAATGCAAGCAGGTTTTTTTTTTTTGTTTTTTAAATACATGAACAAATGAATTGTTAGTATGGAATGTATGTGTGAGAAAAGGCCAAATCTACATTATGTGTGCATAGCATGTGTATTGGCAGGAAATCAGCACAAATACATCTAATGAGAACTAAGCCCAAAATGTTTTGATGTTTTCCTAAAATAAACTATGCAAAAAATAATTTAAAGTGTAAAAATTTTAGCTTTTTTTTTTTTTTTTTTTTTTTTTTTTTTTTTTTTCCAAGCAACTGAGCTAATTTGTAAATTTTAATTTTACATTTGTGTTGTACAGATTTGAGATTAGTTGTACTACTTAGTCTTATTGATTTTTTTTTTTTTTTTTTTTTTTTTTTTTTTTTAAACGCCCTCTCTTCTCTCTACACAATTTTTAACTGGGTTGGGCGTGCGTGCACGCACACGTGTGTACCCTTATGGGAGAGAGACTGTCGGACTGCTAGATCCTTACAAGAAAAATTCCACTTTAGAAGGCTTCAAGTTGCCTCCATATGTCTGGTATTCATTCTTGCGTAGTGTCTCTCCAGATCAAACCACAGCCAATATTCTCCAATTTGATGGCTTGCAGGAGGTTACAAGGAGTGAAAGTGAGAGAAAAAAAACTAAGTATAGAAAGGATTGAGGAAAGATGATGATTGTATTGGGGTGAGATTGCTTCTGAATGCTGGACATTGACGAAGCCCTCTGCCTATTGATGACATTGCTCTGGCTGTATATACACACACACACACACACACACACACACACACACACACACACACACACACACACACCTGAAGCCAGTCAACCATATTGTGCTAGATGTCCACCAAACAGGGCTGTGGAGTCAGAACACAAAACCTCCAACTCCTCTTTATGTAATTAAGTGATTATGGCCTACAATTCTCATAAAAGCCTATATGCACTAACTTGGGTAGGCCTATATCATAAGAACTGGTTTATATCAAAGAATATATATTGTGGCTTTTATATCGTCACCTATTCACTCATCAATATTTCCTAACAGAAAAAAAAAAATCTTTGAAAGGATATAGAAGAAATAACAAAAGTAAAAATTCTATAATGTAAGACTTTTTACACACACATATATATATATATATATATATATATATAGGCAGCAATCCTTTCATGCACATTTCATTGAAAACGACAGACAAGGTGCTTTTATTTAGTTTTTTTATACAATTTCTCATGCAATCTAATAATTATATAAAAACTGTCCGAATGTTCTTTTTATCCCAGCACTTTTGGCTGTACATTTAGCCATTTTCAAGGATTATATTTTAACTGTGAAAATTAGAAATAGTTTGTTTGTATGTCCTATAAAATGTTTTGGGTTTTTTTTTGTTTGTTTGTTTTGTTTTGTTTTTTTTGTTTTGTTTTTTTTGTTTTTTCTTCAAAAAATGGTAAAGATATTATGTCCTTGTTCGAAGTTAATAATATTAAGTGTTGGTTTGTTTGTTTTTATTAATAAAGCTTCCATTTTTAACTTTTTTTTTTTTTTTTTTTTTATTGCATGTAGATGATGCTATTATATTAGTGTTGTCAACAAGTATGTTATGAATAGTGTCCAGTAGGTCTCCATGAATATTTAAATGAGATCTAATTGAGCTATTGTCAGAAACGTGTAGAGTTAGTCTGCGTGTCAAACATGTTGTAGTGTGGTATATATATAATCTATCTTTGCAAAACAAAACTACTTTATAACATAAGTTGAAATATATTCTTTTACAGGATGTAAAAGACATAACAAAAATAAAAGTTCTATGTCAGATTTTCTTTTTTTTTTTTTTTTTTCATTTCATATAGTCTTGCAAATACAAAATAACTACAAAAAAAATGAAATGAAAGCTGAGATGAATTTCTTTAAAGGAAATAATTAAACAAACTTGCAAGACTTTTTTTTACATAGTGTAAATTCAACTGGAGTCTGTATAGTTTTACCGACTAACTCCAGTGACCCTTTAATTGTTTCTGCCTCTGATTCCACAACCCTGCCACTGGCCCTACAAGAATTCTCATCCATTCTTTGAGATCTTATTTTCAATCCTGCTAAGTGTCTGGCCATTCCCCTTGTAGTGGACCACTGGATAGAAGAAAGTGGGGTAACGCAATGAAGAAAAAGGTCAAATTGTGTCTGACATTATCACATGAATAGAGTAGCAGAGGTGCTACGATATCCTCAACCAGAAAAGCGAACTGAGAAAACCAGTTTACTCACTGATGGCTCAAGCCCGTGGTTGTTAGTTTTGTTTTACATAGTAGCAGATAAACAATTGCAGTAACATGTGATAGTCTTGTTTTTCATTACTCTGTATGATGTTGTGTGTCTATATGCAAATGTCAGTTTCTGAACTAATTAACTAAATGGTCCTTTTTTTTCTTTTCTTTCCAACCCCAGAGGTTTTGCGGATAATGTTTGAGATTCTATACGACGAGGATGTTATATTGGAAGAAGCTTATTTCAATTGGGAGAAAAGTGAAGATTCTGCTGAACAAGAAGGCAAAGGTGTGGCTCTGAAGCTTGTCATGGCCTTTCTCAATTGGCTGCATGAAGCCGAGGATGATGACGACGACGAGGACGATGACGATTGAGTCCCAGGCCAAATGCCGATCCGTTACAGGAAAACCAGGACTTTTCTTTGCGTAAACTCTGACCTCAACCCTTTGCCACTACTGCCCTTATTACTCACCGCTTTTTTTATGAAAGTGATAAATCAAAGAGGGAACGATGATTTTCTCATGTACAGAGAGAGAAAAAAGGAAAACAAAACGAAATTACCAAACTAGGAAACGGATCTCGGATTTGAAACGCTTAAATTTTTTTTTTTTTTTTTTTTTTTTTCACTTCATGGATTAGTCAGGAGTTATTTAAAAAAAAAAAAAAAAAAAAATCATTTTAAAATAAAAAATAAACCTATTTTCTTTATAGCTTTTTTTTTTTTTTTTTTTTTTCCTCCCCCACCTTGAAAAGTATTTGGGGGTGGAGACTTGACATTAAAGAAAAGGATTAACTAAAATCTCCCTCAGGAAGTGTTGAAAGGATTTTTTTTTTTTTTTTTTTTTTTATTAAAAGCAAAAAATCATTGAATCTGGTTTTATACTCTTTTTCCCTTATCACACCATGATTTTTTTTTTTTTTCTTTTTTCTACAGAAAAATAAAAAATAAAAAAAGTAATAAAAAAAAAAATATAAAAATTGACAGATGAAAGAAAACAACAGTTGAACAAAAAAAAAATAAAATAATTTAATGTTTTGTCATGCTGGAGGGTGGTGGAAACCCCCTTCTTGAACTCTTCTGTACCCACAAGGTATTGAAGGGGAGGAAAAAATTCTTTTTTTCAAAGAGTATAAGAAAATAAATGAATAAATACTAGATTTTTTTTTTTTTCTCTTTCTTTGCCATAAACACTGATCTGAAGAATGTCTTCAGCCTTCAGGAACTTTCCTGAGGAGATTCTAAGACTTGAACACTTCCAAACCAACAGTAGGGAGGTGGGGGAGTCAGTATTTGGAAGCCATTTTCTATTGGTTTTCTTCTGTGGATGGGCAATTTATTTCCTTCCTTAGCGAAGGACGTTTTTTTAAATTCAATTTTTACTGGACAATGACACGACACAGAGTTCCTAAAATAGAGCTGTCGGGGTCTGTATAAAATAATTGAAATAATGAATAATAATAAAAAAAAATTTAAAAAAATGCACATGGGAAGGGGAATGTAAAAAGACTTTTTAACTTTAATCTCTTTAAAAAAAAAAAAAACAATAGGAATCTTCAAAATAGACGATAAACTGGATAAATTTCAAAAGTGATTGAAAATCAGTGTAAATGGATGAAATACACTGCAAAAAAAAATTTTTACAAAAACAAAGGAAAAAAAAAAATGTAAATTTTTACAAAAAAAACAAATTTTTTAATTTTAATTTAGAAAATCTTTTTTGCAAAACTGAAAATTTGAAGGAAAAAAAAAAAACTTTAATAAATTGTGAAAATATAATTTTTTTTTTTTTTTTTTTTCTTATCAAGCCTGAACTTATTTTGTTTTTGATTCCTCTTTGCCCCCTCTTTATTTACTTTTTTTTTCCCCCTCCTTACTCACTTTGGCACTTATGCGACCCATGTAGAGATTGTGCCAGAAAGTCATTCAAATCTCCTGACCCCCTGGTGCTAAGTAAAATTATGCACACACACACACACACACACACACACACACACTGTTTCTTTGCCTTCTTTTCTCTTTTGAGAGGGCTAATACCCTCCTTCGGCCCATGTACCAATCTGGATTTCCCTGCCTTCCTTCAGTTCTGGATTTACTCTTTGCTTTCCAATATTTGGGAAGAAAAGACATTTTTTTTTTTTTTTTTTTTTTTTTTTTTATGGGGGAGAAAAATTAAAAAAAAAAAAAATGAAACCCCACTGTCATATTTCTTATTTTTACAAGGGGTGGGGAAAAAAAAAACTAAATGATTTCTGTCTTCTCCTCCATTCTTTGCAATTTATTTTTTCCTCCTTCCTTGCGTTTTTTTTTTTTTTTTTTTAATTGTTGACTTTGCTATAAATTTTGATTCCATGTTTGGCTTGAAAAAATAATTTTTTGTCTTCATTTTATTGGCTTATGGTTAACTTTTTATTCCAATTTCCTCCCCCTTTTTTTTTTTTTTTTTTTTTTTTTTTTTGGCTTGCTTGCTACAATTCAATATAATTGAGAGACAAGACAATGGTTGGTGGTGGTCATTTGAGAGAAGAAAAAAAAAGTGAAATTAAATTAAAAAAAAAAAAAACAAAAAAAAAACAGCTTTCTTTCCCAGACAGGTCTTTATTAGGCAACAAGTACAATTCAACCCACCGAGAAGGATGACCCCCCCTCCATTTTGTTTTTTTTTTTTTTTTTTTTTCCATTAATAATCAGGTCAGTGGAGAGGGAAAAGAAAAAGGGCCTTTTCTTTTAGTTGCTGAAAAATCTCTTTATTTGAAATTGTGTATGTTTTTATAAACCCACAATCAATGTATTTCTTTTGCACTGGCATTTTTCTAATAAGCATAGAATGTTGATCATGTCCAATAATGACAAGTGTTCAGTTAAAAACAAAACTGTTTCTAAATTTTATCTTTTGTCAGCTTAACACTAGATTTTCCTCTAAAATTAAGAAAAACTGAATCTGTTTCTGGATTAATAGAAATGAACCATTCCTAGCAAAAAAAAAAAAAAGTTAATCTGTTTCTGACACTTGAAGATATCAGCGTATTTTTAATGCTGCTTTTTTCTTCTTTTTTTTTTTTTTTTTTTTTTGTTTCCTTCTCTCTCTCTCACTCAAACACACACTCTTTCCCCTCAGCATTAGTTGCTCCAAAAAAAAAAAAAATCATTTTCATCTTTAAGTCTTTTCACATATTCCTTCCCCTTCCACCCATCTCAAGTTTTACTGTTTCACTTGGAAAATCCATCCAAGCTTAAAGGAAAAGTATTTCCAAATGGATATTCTCACTTGATGTGTATACTTGTAAAATACGAATCTTTAATAGTCTAAATGTAAGCTTTAGGCCAATTTTAATCCTTCTCTGATCTGGCTAAATATGTAATTCCTGAAGAAGAGGAAAAAGGAAAGATAAGGGTTTTGTTTCATTTTTAGTTTGTCTATGTTCATATTGTTCTTTTATAGTTTATATCTGAAATTTCACATGCGTGTGCGCATGACACTTAATGGTTGTGAAAATGGTCACTGGGCAAGGTCTCACCTCATCCCAAATACAATTAACTACTACTCTAACCTACATAAGTCAAAATATGATTTTTGTATGGTTTAAAAATTATTAGACAATTTTCAAATTCCTGTCCAGAAGAAATCTGCAAGAATGATTAAATAAGGGACAAGTAGAATAATTTGCAGAAGTTAATGCGTTTCGATATTTAACTTGGCTTCATCAGAAATTGGGTAATGTGATGTATGTTAAATTCTTTTTCCAAAAATTTCCAATGAAGCTAAATAGCAAAATACAGGTTTCCTACATGCATACATGACATTACAAAACGTACATTACATTACAAATAGAAAACAGCCAACCTTAATGGACCCTTAAGGTTGTCTATTTTCTATTTAAATTGAATTAATAATTACTCTGATTTGACATTGAGCTCTCTGGATTACGTCCTCCTTGGGATTATCCATATGGATTACCGAACTTTTCATTACTTATATAAGTTCCAAAATAATTTAACATTCCTTCTACCTCACCTAACCTAAAATAATTTATCAGGTATGATTACTAAATTTAATTTAATTATAATTAAAACTTTTCATACTAAAACTAACAAGAATGGATTACATTCTTGCTACTGTGGGCTTTCCATCTTACGAGCTGTCTAGTTAAGGAAGTGTACAACTTGAGCGAATACTAACAGCTCAAAAAAATAAGGGAAATTCTCATTCTTATCAGGAATGGATTCTCAGATGTTTTGACTGATTGAAACATGAACGTTTCAGCAGCTCCTCCACCCATACTAATTTATTCTTATCCTTTTGTATTTTTGACATCTGATGTATTTTGTTTTGGGTTCTACAACCATCTGTAAACACGCCGTCACTGCTGTCGTGGAGAGGTGGCATGCATTTTTTTTTAAATGCCTACAAGCAAGCATTTGGGCTTGAAACAACTTTGATCCCCCCCCCCAATCCCTGTCGTCCACAATCCCCCTCCTCCTCCTCTGCTTGTGTGCCATAACACATAATGTCATTTGAAATGGCTATGGTGTTGGCAATCATTTTATCACCTCTCCACTTCCAAGCAAAAATCCTGTTTCATTGAAATTGTTACCATTTCTTTCAGTTATTGAATTTGAATGCATTTGATTCTGGTCTTTTTTTTTTTTTTTTCTTTCTTTCTTTCTTTCTCTTGACTTGGACAAATTAGAAGTTTGTCTCAACCAGAAAATCTATTTCTACCTCTCATAATAGTTTGGACATTTGCATATAGACTTCAAATGCTAAATGGAACAACAATTATGGGACAGATGCTATGTAGATTTTCCACTTAAATAAAAACTCTGTCCCAATTTCAAGGTTTATTTACCCCATCTCACCACAAAGAAAAAAAAGACTTCTGTTACATACTATTGTAGTTTCACTGATCTGGATTGGGTGGTAAGCATCATTTTATCTTCTAAACTAATTTCTGTGTTTTATGAATGATTCATCCATTAGCATTTACAAAATTGAAGATGGTGATACAAAGTGGAAGTTTTTATTTTGTTGTTTTTTTTTTTTTTTTTCACGAGAACATCTACTCTATTTGGCTTCCTTGGTGTCAGATCTCTCTCATAAACTTTAGTTTTTCACTCAAACCTGAGGAAGTTGAAGAGGGAAGACACTGGTAAAATCCATTAATAAATTTTCCAGTTTGTCTCCTTGTCTTGACTTGTTTGTTCTTAATTTTAAGGTATTTAAAAGTGTATAGTATCAACAGTGAGGTCCAAAAATGACATTTGGGAGGTTTGTGTAGGTACTGTTGTTTCGTTTGTTGTTTTTTTTTTTGTTGTTGTTAAAGCATCTTGTTGGAGAGTCATTACTGTGTTGATTTTTCTTGAAACTTGGAAATT